ATGGGAACAGGATGCATCCTGGCAGAAATTAAGAAGGGGCAAAAGTAGAAGTTTCCTGGTGTTGCAGTGTTTGTCACTGCAAAATTACAGTCTATTGCAACATCTACGAGCCCAGCAATTGCCAGTATATATCTGGTCCTGACCGTCCGGGATTGCAAGGGACCCTCCTGTATTTGGCCTTTGGAGAGCTGTTTATCTTATGCTCTTTTATTATTTCTTTAGCGTTGTTTCTTGTTTCTCTTTCCTTTTAATGGCAGTATGATTTTGTCCACTCTACTTCCACAACTGCCTATAAGTTTGCTCGCAAATCTAAGTAAATATGCAGAATTCAAACACTTTTTCAGCTCCTATCCATTCTTACAAATCATTCTTGCTCTTCAAAGCACCATACAAGACTCATAATTTGATCTAAGCTAAACCTAAACGCTTTAGTTAGGCCTTCTCATGTGGTTTCTGTCACTCTACCAGTGACATCACCCTCCTTCCATTCTTACTTTTGTTGTTTTTAATAAAATTGCGCACAAAGTGTCTCTTGGTGCCATGAGAAGAAACCAGTTCTCATAAATACATTTTCATTAGGGCAAACAAAGTGTTGTGAATAACCCACCCAGTGCAACAGGACAGTGTGTTGTTAAAGAGCTAGGGGAAATTCACGTCTGTTTTAAGGAGAATGACACGCATTTCCTGTAAGGGGAAATTTTGTGGCATAAATGCAAAGAAAGAATAGTCTGGGTAGACCAAGGAGAGTAAAAAATCTGCCAGTCAAAATGGCAAATATTCAGATTAAAATTCAAACCGCTTTTTAGTAGGAGGAATTTTCATTTTGTATAAATTTAGCTGATTTTTAAGCCTTTGTTCTATTTTTTTTAACCAAACATCTATAAACAGGATACAGCAAGTGAGAGGTTTTGAAGGCCTCCTGTTCTCGGGGTCTTCATGTAGTTATGAAATCATCTGTTAAATGTCAGAGAGTCTCAAAAATCAGAGTAAATAAAAGAAGAAAATATTTTTAATTTCCATGAACAAGCCACAGTATTAAAATTAGAAATTTAAGCATTTCATTTTTTGTTTTGAACTGTCATTTTTAAATGCATAAAAGTGAGTTATTTATACAAGTAGAAGATTTTACATGCTTTTAAAATGTAAGGGAGAAGACCTTGTTGCATCTGTTAAAAGCACCAATATCTGTAGGCTTTAGTGCTATTTTTCTTGTGGAGAACCTCTCATGTGCAAGATTTCGCGGCATCAAGTCCATAAATACAAACACCCATATTAAAAATAGAGTAGTGGGGCATTTCTCGTAGGTGATTAGGGTGCATTGTATAACTGCGGATGAGAAAAATAGATGCATCTTTATCAATGATTAAATCCGACGCGTTTGCTCCTGCAGCTCCCTGAGTTTTCCCGTAAGCAGCAGCTCCCTCCCCATCTTTGCTCTCTGCGGCTGCATCTCCAGAAATTAGACCGGGATTTCAGGAGCTCTGATGATCTTTATGGGAGAAGATCCCGTCTCCAAAGGTTTTGCATCGCTCACGTTGATGACACCCTCTGTACAAACGAGCCCAGATGTAATTAGTTGGCGGTGAGGAAAGAAGTGCCCTGGCTCCCACGCGCCAGCGTGGTCAAGACTGAGGCATGGAGAGGGCAGGCTGGGGGCACAACCCTTCCTTGAGACCATTGGGGAAATTTTCTTTTCTATATGCAAACCCGAAGCTCAGAGAGCACGTTTTAGGCATGTCATCTTGCATTTTGGAAGCTAATTCTGGCTATTCCGCAACCTTGGTGGTTTTGGTCAGTTTGCCGAACCTGCATTTTATTTTGTCTCTTGGTAAAGCAGAGCTAGTTTTTTGTTTCTTAGTTTTGTTGGGATTCTCGAATGATTTCAGGCTATGGTCATCTTTATAACTCCTATCTGCATGACCATATAGAAATCCTGTGTGCTCGTGATGTTTAAAAATGACCAAGTTCTGGGCAGGTCCTGGACATAGAGATGATTCTGTTTAGAACCAGGCAGAAAAGAAAAACGAATGAGAGCCTGGAAGAGGAAAAATGGAATGGCTGGAGCAGGAGTGTTCTGCAGAAATGTAAACACAAAAAATGTGCTAAGTGGACATTGTCTTTCTCCAGCATACTTCGGGGAAATGCACGTGAGCCGCTTTAGAGGACTTCGTATTGCTATTCGTTTATTTTCAGGCCATTTATTTAAGTGTCATAAAGAACATTAGCTAGTGGTTAGGGACTACAATATCCATTATATCATTCCAATCATGTGGACAAGTTTATACTGTATATGATTTACAGCGGTCTTTCTGCCACTAAAAGTGTTATATCCAGGTACAGCGTTTCACACGTAGTTGCGTACTAAAATTCAAGTGGCTGAACCCAAACACGTCCTCCAATGGAAGTCCAAAGAATTAATGTTTTTACATGAACGCCGTGGTTTCCAGCTAGAGCAGTTTATGGCGCTCTGCCTACATCTTTTATCATGTCTCCACTGTTGTTAGTAAAATATACAGAACTACTTTATGCCAAAACAATGGAAGTTAATGCAGATAACTTGTTCCAAAGCTAACCATCAAATAAATCTCTCTTTTTTTTTTAAACTGTTAAGTGAAATGGTGTTCTAAAACTTTTAAAAATTGTCAAGATGATGAATACTGTGTGTGTAATACAAGTAAATACTGCAGAATTGATTGCACACACATGTCTTAAATAAAGGATATTAAATAGTTTATTCCAGAGAGAAATCGGTGAAGTTTTATCTAATACTATTAGAAATTCTGCAATGACAGATCAGATTTATGAGGACTGGAAAGTAAGAAAAAAAAATGATGGGCTGAGCGATTAAAGACAGCCAGGAAGAGGCGGCATATCCAGGTATTCCTGCCTCTCAATTCCATCAAGGAATTCTTTTTTCTGGGAATGGTTTTGCAGGCATGGTTGCCGTGCTCTCAAAGTAGGGCACACTATGGGTAAAAATATGTTGAATTATCAAAATAACAGAAAATCCGAAGATGATTTTGTTTCTGAGAGGAAACCGCAGGCATGCAGAATTCCTGCTTGTGCTGGGAGTTAGTCCTGGGTGTTGTGATGCCCGGCAGGTCATTAAACCTATTTCTGCTCCGGCTTTTCCCCATGAGTAAAAACACAACAGTAGATCCTCACAGCGCTGCGAAGGAGTTGGAAAAAGCAGGCAGTGTTACAACATTTTCCTTGTCGAGGGTCCTCCTTGAATGGTTGCTCCCCGCCACGCGCTTCCAAAGGGAAAGGCAAGAGATAATCCAAAATATCCAGCGTGGTCCGGGGGGTCCGAACCGATGTCCTTGCTGGACAAGAGACACCGCTGCCCTCCAGGTTGGGCGGTTGTGACACAAGCCAGTCCTACAAGGGTGACCTACCAAGGTCTCCGTGTGGTTTTGGGGTTTAGCCTGTTGTGACACGAGCCAGTCCTACAAGGGTGACCCACCACAGGTCCCTGTGTGGTTTTGGGGTTTTGCTGGGCCAGAGCTTGCTACGTTTCCTTAGGTATATCCTCAGAAAGCACCATGAGCAGGACGTGTGGGCTTCAGTTCACAGAAGGCACTTGATAAAGTTCTACCTTAAAAGCTGTTAGCAGAACGAGCGCGGCTGTAAGTGTTGAAGGGCCCTGTTTGTAAAGGTGATTAAAGTTTGGGCTTTGGCTGAGGGTGGCTAATTCATTGAGATGGAAATAGTTTAACTCCGAGACTCATCTGGGATCCTCTTGTGTTTATAATATTGGTAATTGATTTGGATGAGCCTATTGAATGTGATTGAACTTTTCTGATTGCATCCACAGAGGAGACAGGACAAGTGAAATGGAGAGCAGTTAGAAAACGGGGCTCTCGGAGGTGATTTGGTCAGTGAATAGAAAATGCAGCTTAATGTAGATGAACGTAGAAATAATATGCCAAGAGGCAGCAACCCAAATCAGAGAATATATATTAAATGGAGCAGCTACACAGCATACTGACTTAGGAAAGGGGATTTAGGGGTTATTGAAGAAAAATCCTCAAAGCAACTAGTCAAGTGTGCAGCTGCAGTCAACCTCCCATAGTGTGTGTGTGTATTTGTATTTTGGTAATAATTTCAAAGAGAAGGGTCTGCTTGTGTTTAAAGACGCTGCAAAGTGGATCATTCCCGGATTTAAGAATATTTGTTTTAACAAAAAGCTAAAGAAGCAGTTTGTTCCCCGCTCCAAAATGAGCGGTTACCGTGATGGAGCAAAACTCTGCGGGGCTGTGCAGGAGGTTGATAAAGTGGAGCAAGTGTTCGCTTTAGTAAACAGCTCGGTAAACAGGCCGGCGTGTGTAAACACTCTGGAATTAAAAGGAAACGGAAAATTCAAATGTCTCCACTTATCTGGAAGAGCCATAATCACCCTGAAAGGCATGTAAGTAAATAATAGTATTTGGGAATTGAAGTATAGAGTGAGGATGCCGTGATGGCCGTGAGTATAGCCTGCTTTATGTTAATGTAGAGGAAGCGCTTGAATGAAGCAGCTTTGCTTGCAGGTTTCCTGTCCCAGGGTTACCGTGTTGGACCCCTGCCTCAGTTTCCCCAGTGTCAGCTGGCCTCATCACTCACACTTCCAAAAAAGCCCAAGGATGGTTGGTTTCATCAGGGCTTTAATGGCTAAGGAAGCAGAATTGCCTCGTTACTTCCTAGAGACGTTTGCTTCAGTTTAGCTTAGCAGGAAAATGGTTTTGTGCTCCCTGTTAATGTGATTTAATCGTGGCTTAATGGAGACCCTTGGATTCTCAGGCAGTGAATCTGACATGCTGCACAGGTACCATCTTTGATAAGTCTATATATGTATGTGCTTGTCATTTCCCGAATGCTGGGGCAGTTGCTGCTTTGGTGCAGACTGCCAACCACGTCGTCTTGGCATTTCAAACCAATTCATTAAGAATCGCTGGGCAAAATTAAAATCCAGAGTGAGCACTGTATGTAGTTTTTCTTCTTTTTTTTTTTGCTCGCAGGTTCATGCCAGAACACAAACGTGCCCATTTGGAGAAGATAACGGGCATTAAAAGCCCGGGTGGTGCTGGTGGACACGAGGGGTTGATGCAACCCATGAGCGCCCACCTCGACCGTGGGCTCTGCGAGGGGCACCCGGCCACCCCACCGGAGACGCCTCCTTCCCCATCGGCGACGCCGGAGAAGCCCGGAGCGTCGGGAAGCACAAATCCCTGTCAGGAAGGAGATAAGCAGCATCTGACTTTTAACCCCCGGGACGTCTCGAGGGGAGCGGACGATGCGCAGAGCCCCTTGCACGTCGTCTGGCCCCACAGGTGGTAAGTGGTGGATGCGCCGAAACCCCGGTCGGTCCAAAGATTTATGAATTTCCCGGTGCTGTTTGGGACTCCTGCCTAGTGTAAGTAATTTCCCGCACATAAAACTGACACCACACACATACCTACATGGAAAAGGCACATCGCTGGCGTCTAATTACTCAAAATAATTCCTTTGCATTTACGCTCAGTAATACCAACCAGGTGTTTAAGTATTGATGTTAATGATTCCTCTTTATTTTTTTTTGCCCAAGAAAAAGATACCCCGGCCGCAGAAACGCTGCACATGATTCTGGCAACGCTCTTTTCATACAAAGCAATCCACTAATGACAATTAATACGCAATGTTATTTAAATCATCTTAATTACTTTAATGTAAGTGATTAAGTGTAAAGATAGATGGTGGCGCCGGACAGCTGATGTTAGCTCTATATCTACAATTTAAAAACGCCCTTTCGGTGTTGCATAAATAGAAAGTCTGTTTGAACATATTGAGAAGGAAGCAGCATTTTTTTCTGCTGCTGATCACAGAATCTGCTGCGAACCGACGAAAATGTACTGTGCCACATAATCACTCCGAACACATAAACTTTAGCGTGACTCCGACATAAATTAGGATTTAAAGAGGTAAAATGTCCTGATAATCTTCCGGTATTGGGCACGAACATTTTAATCTAGTTTTTATTCCTCGCAGTTTGTTTAATCTGCATGTGGCCTGATTAGAGTTCACTTCATCCACAGATTACGGGCTGTTTATTGCAGAGATGCTGGGGCGATCAGTAGGTCAGATTTTCCGCGAGCAACTGCTTTCAGGTGAAGCAATAAGTGCGCCACACCGACAGGGCAAATCGCCTTTGCAGAGGATTTGACTTCCAGCACATTAAAACTCCAGAAGCTCTCCCAGATGATCTGCAGCATCTGGTACCTAAAGGGATTTTCATCTTTGACTCTAAATGTCTGAACATAAAATTTAGGGCTTGGAAGTTGATGTGGAATCTGTCTTTGGATTTGTTTAATCAACTTCACACTTCCGACGTCGCCTTTCTTGGGGAGCTGCATTTATTTTTAATCACGTTTTGCTGCTGACTCCGAAATGCCGAAATGTGTTATTTTAAAATTTAGTGCATTAAAGTTGGAGATACTGTCTCTTTTCATTTGCTGTAGAGAGTGTAGGAAGCTCAGACTCCTTTATATTTTTTAAAGCATTTCATCCCCATTCACTGAGGACCTCATTTAAAAATGCATATTTTTAAGATGGTCAGTTATAAAAAGTTTTATGATGCTGAGCTGTTTTTCTTTTCTTTTTTTAATGCTAACCTAAATAGTTCCAAATGTTGCATTCAAAAACAGCACACTAAAGGAAAAGACAATATTTTTCCATGTTATTCAGTAGTTTGCATAAAATAGCACAAAGCTAAGTAATAAAATTAACAATATTAAATTGAATAATTCCTTTTTCTTTCTGTGTATATTTTTGCTTTAATTTAATTTAATTGCCTAAAGTTAGTTGCTTAAAGAGATGTGGCATTGTGCTCACGCACGTACTTATTGTTAAAGCTAAATTATTTTTAATTTGGAGAAGAGGGGAAAAAAAAGCCGCATCAGCAAGAGCAAATGCCAAAATATAAAAGTAACACATTCATCCTTACGGGTAATATAGTAGAACATTGGAAACTTGGAGGTTGCCAGACACACAGCTAACATTAGGGCTAATTTTGAAAATCTAGCGTGCAGTCAATTTTACTGATGCCTGGGGACATACAAGGTAGAAGCTGACAAGAGAACTAATTTTGTTTGGGTTATTTACTGCTATGCATCATCCATGGGTTCCCGCCTGACACGCAGCTATATGAAGGGGAATATTATCACACACTAAAAATTTATGTTGACATTCGATATTTGTTCAATATGTCAGCAGTATTACTTTCATAATCAAAAGACTGAGAAAAAAAGGGGAAAAGCAAAGCACTTTATGCTCATATAGATATATCTTTTTAATAACAGTCTATAAGGTTAATATAGTTTACCTTTGAGAGTGTACAATGAAAACAAGCAGGGTTAGCAGGGAAAATGACAGAAAACATCAACCCGAGCTGTTTGTTTGCCATTACCTAAGCGAGCCATGTCAGCTCTCTGGCCCGCGTCTGATAGCTATTTGTTGTACAGAGCGCGCGGCGGAGAGGAGGGGGGAAAAAAGGAGAAAAAAAAATATCAAACTCTTAATACTATTGTGTGCCCATAACCATCTGTCACTGCTAGCCTGGAGATGAGAGGAAGATTACGAGGAATAAACACTGAGCCGCCGAGCATTGGTAAAGCCTTCGGGCAAAAAACTCTTGTGGGGACATCAAAGACATTCTAATTCCGAGGCAGTCAAGGATTACAGTGTGTAACCTGTGCTGACAACAGATAAATGACTGGCAATATTGTGCCAGAGCTGTTGGGTCCTGCATGGAGTCCTGATGATGATGATGATGATGATGTTATCTCGCCGAATGGACTCTGCTGGGATAATTTTATGATAAACCACTTTTTTCAAATGCCACTGGGTCCAGGCAGGCATTTGCTAGCGACGGGGGTAGCAATCAGTTTCTTCAAAATTTACTGTTCTAAGCCCATTAGAGCGCCGGCGCAGCACGGCAAAAAACCGGGAACGCCGGGATTTGTGCTAGGCGAGCGCATGCAAATGGCAGGCGCCGAACCCCTACCCTTTCGTGTCGGGATGCTTGTGCCGCTGATTTATGTGAAACGCGTCTTTTTGTGCTTAATTGGGGAATATGAATTAGGAAATTAAGCCGCCCGCTTTGCATTCCCCGGGCGTCCTCGGGAGCAGCAAGGCGCGTGTCTGTAGTGTGCAGGTGGAAACCCCATCCCAACCCATCCCAACCCAAAAATCAGCCCGGATCCCTACGTGCACTTAAAAGCATCCCCTTCGGAGGCCAAACGTGAGTGTCTCATTGAAAAGGGCTGATTTTAGCCAAGTGTTGTAATGCATGGGGGGTTGGTGTGGGGAGCATTGGCAGCGGCGCCGCGCTCGTCTTCCAGCGTGAAGTACTCGCAGATATTGTCCTATACAATAACACTTAACTACCATTGACTGCGCTGATGATTTGCATGTGTTCTTCATTTAAGCAAAAAAAAAAAAGGAAGAAAAGAAGGAAAGGAAGATTTTTATGTCCCTCTGCTCCCCTTCACCTAACAAAAAACTCTTCAGCTTAACCATAAAAACAAAATACCAGTGTGGAATCGTGCTGTTGTTATAGGAGAACTCTAAAAATGAAGTGATGATGACCTCATTGCGCTAGTCCTACATCGGGAGCATGAATAGCCTAAAATACGGTGTTAGCCTCTAACACATCCCTCCCTAAGTCAACCAAATGGAGGCCCAACTTGCCGGGAAATGCATCAGAATCAGCAGTGACATTTTCTAGGAGATACATTCGCGCTTTAAATCTGTGTTAAAATGTCTTTGCATGAGAACGGGGCCCTTAAATGCAATCCCTGCCCCTTCTCCTCGTTCTTCCCGGATCCAAGCCTGTCGAGGATTATAGTGTGCAACCTCTGCTGACAGTAGATAAATAACTGACAGTATTTCAGCAGAGTTGCTAGGATCTCTGCAGAGTAATTTGTTTTCTCCGTTCCCACCAAGTCTTTAATGTTTTGTTATAAACATCTATAGCAAGGCTCTGTTAATAGAAATGACTTATAGCCAAGGATCGGTGTAAAAGACGGCAGCGCTTTCCTTCACTTCTCTCTGTAAATATTACCCCGCAGAATTAGTTTTCCTTTGTGTAAATGTGCTTTATTGAGAACAGACAGCAAAATTTCGGTGATCAATGGACACAGTCCCCAGATTTGATCAGAACTTCGTACCCTACCGCAGATGTTCCTTCCACCATAATAAAATACCCACTCGGTGACTGGCGAGTGTATTAAGGAGATGGCAGTGATCACTGTGAGAGTCCTTTTCCTCCAGCAGTTTGTATGGGAACATTTAGAAATACTCATTTTTGCACCCCAAAAAGACTCACTGATGCTCGTCAGAGCTTTTGCTTTGGTTGGGGCTACAGCAGCTTGTTTCCCACCTTGTTCCAGTTGCAAATCCACCCACCCCAGATCATAGACATGCAGGCCAGATGACACGCATGCAATTTTGTTATAAATATCTTAGGCACTTTGCTTCTGTCCCTCTTTTAGTTCAAGGCGTTTGCTTGGGCTTCATGTTTTTGCTTTTTCTTTCCTGCCTGTGCTGTATCATCTCAACCGTTAAAGACCCGATAACCGACAGTGGTCAGAAATCAATTTTTCTTCCCCTAATTGCACGGGTCCGATCGGAGATCGCGGGCAGGATCAGAGCGAGCTCAAGCACACATGCAAAACAAGGGGCCGCTGTCGATTCACGTGGCAGATGAGACAGATACCCCCTTATCTCGCGTCGCGTGCGGTCAGAGCGCGAGGAGGGACGTGGGCGAGCGGATGCGCGAGCAGGAACGTCCACCGTGGAAGTCACGATGAAGAAGTTCAGAAAAAAACAAAGCAATCTAGATTGCAAAAGTTATCTGAAGGGCCCTCTGCTCTCGGTGTGCAAAGATAGCGCTGCGGTGGGTTTTGCGTGTGGGTATCGCTGGAGTCAGCGTGCTCAGCTCTAAGATTTAAAAAGCAGGCAGAAGGTGAAAGTACTTAATATAGAGTACTTAATATATACTGCTGCTTCAATAATAATCTGTAAACCAAGGAATATTTCGCCCATGTTGCAAAATTCTCTGGTGTAAACGTTGCCCCGTCAGAATGCAGATAGTGGAAGAGAGGAAAAGGTGGAGGAGTAAATGCTCCACCTAGAAATCATCTTCTGGTGGTCAGATCTTGGTCTCAACAGGCATCGTCCACGTTGCAAAGAGCCTTCCGAGAGCACAGTGACGTGCTGGATAAAGAAGGAAGCTGCACTAAGGACCATGGAGTTGGTTCTGCCCCATCTACTTGAGAGAAACCACCTCTTCGGAAAGCAAC